TAAGACAACATCTCCCTACCAAAAAAAAAAAGAACTTCAATCTAAGTCTCAATCTAATCCTCAAACTATCAGATACAATTTTCAGTTTAAAGGAAGAATCAGAGATAGAAGAAAATGGTAAATGAAACCTTGGGGATATAATCAGCCAAATCCAGAATATGTAGCGTTGTATAAAACAAATGGGGGAAGGGGAACCAGTTATAGAGTAAAAATGATTTAAGAGACATAATATGAACAACTTGTTTGGATCCTGAATTGACCAAATCAACTGTAAAAATACATCTTTGAGACAATAAAGGAAATCTGAAGTCAGTAAGTATTAAATGACATTAGGAAATTATTGTTGGGGTCCGTGGGTGGCTCAGTCGGTTAAGCATCTGACTCTTGATTTTGGCTCAGGTCATGATCTCAGGGTCCTGAGATGGAGCCCCACATCGAGCTCTGAACTGGGCATGGATTCAGCTTGAGATTCTCTGTCTCCCTCTGCCCTTCCCCCTCCCAACCTCATGCTCTCTCTCAAAAAAAAAAAAAAAGGAAGGAAAGAAAATGAGAAATTATTAAATGTGATGTGTTAAAGGCATGTGGGATTTTTTTAAGGCATTATCTAATAAAGATGTATACTAATATATTTATGGATGAGACATGATGATGTCTGGGATTGGTCTTAAAATATTCCAGCAAAAAAGAAGGAAGAATAACAGAGTAAGTCTATATATTTTTCAAGGTAGAAAATCTCAGTAATAAAATTTTTAAATAAAGTGGTAATCACAATGAGATACCACTTCACACTCAATAGGACAGCTATATTCAACAAGAGTTAGCAAGGATATGGAGAAAATAGAACCCTGTACATTGTTGGTGGGAATGTAAAATGGTACAACCACTTTGGAAAAAAAGTCTAGCATTTTTAAAACAGTTAAACACAGTTACCATCTGATCCAGCAATTTCATTCCTGGGTGTATACCCAAGAGAAAACTAATGTCCAAACAAAAAATTTGTACATCAATGTTAATAGCAGCATTATCCATAACAGCCAAAAAGTGGAAACAACCCAATTGTCCACCAACTGATAAATGGATGAAATGCAGTGTAACCATAAATGGGATACTATTTGGCAATGAAACAGAATGAAGTAGTGATGCATGCCACAACATGGAAGAAACTTTGAAAATATTATGCTAAGGGAAAGAAGACAATCATAAGAACCACATACTGTATAATTCCATTATATGAAATGTCCAGAATAAGCCAATGTATAGAAAGTATATCAGTGTTTGCCTAGGACTCAGAAAATGAGGGAATTGGAATACGATGGCTAAGGCCACAGGATTTCTTTATGGGGTAATGAAAATATTCTAAGGATGTACAACTCTGAATATACTAAATTGTATACTTTAAATGTCTGAACTGTATGGTATGTGAATTCTATTTCAAAAACTATTCAATAAACAAGAGGATGGGGCACCTGGGTGGCTCAGTCAGTTAAGCGGCTGACTCTTGATTTCGGCTCAGGTCATGATCTCACGGTCTTGGGATCAAGCCCCGCATCCAGCTCCATGCTCAGCAGGAAGTCTGCTAGAGGATTCTCTCTCCCTCTGCCTCTGCCCCTACACCCACATGCGCTTTCTCTCTTTCTTTCTCCCTCCCTTAAATAAACAAATCTTTAAAACAACAAGAGGGTTATAAAGGAAGGAATAGAAGAGGTAAACTTAGTAAACTCTAAATCCTAGAATAGAAACAAAAAGCAAAAATTTTAGAGGGAGTTGAGAACCACAGACCAAGAACAACCATTTTTATTTTTTTTAAAGATTTTATTTATTTATTTGACACACAGAGAGAGATAGCGAGAGAGAGAGAGGGAGAGAGCACAAGCAGGGGGAGCAGCAGGCAGAGGGAGAAGCAGGCTTCCTGCATGAGCAGGGAGCCCGATGTGGGGCTCGATCCCAGGACCCTGGGATCATGACCTGAGCTGAAGGCAGCAGTCTAACCAACTGAGCCACCCAGGCGCCCCAAGAACCCTAATTTTTAGAACTTGTAAAATTCTGCAATATTTGTAGAAGTTACATTCGGTTTTTTATTGTTTTAACTTCTTCATCTGATTCTACATAGTGACACATGGTAAGCCTATAAAATCAAAAGTACAATGTGGGTTTTTTTAGATTTTATTTTTAAGTAATTTCTACACCCAATGTGGGGCTCAAACTTAACCCCAAGATCAAGAGTTGCATGTTCTATCATCTGAGCCAGGCAGGCATTCGGCAATGTGTTTCTTTACTGGGAAAAAAAAGAAGATGGGAGTTTGGAAAACTGTATACCAGCTATGGGAAAACAAAAAGCACAAAGGGTAAAATGGATACAAAGATAGCGTCGATCTGGCATTTATCAAGGGAAAAAGGAAGATTGGATCAAGGGAAAAAGAAAGATTGAAGATTTCAACAAACAAGAAAAGTTGAGATGTTGGCTTGGGCATGAGAAGAGTTATGTAGTTTAATAATAGGAAGCCTACAGAGGATTCAGTTAAATTAAGAGAAAACCCTGACAAGAGAAGTTTGCACTTGTCACAAATTCCATTTCTTCATCTTTGATTTAACTCATTGTGCGCTGAACTGTGTACCTCAAAAAAATATGATGAAGTATTAATCCTCAGTACCTATGAATGTGACCTTATTTGTAAATGGGGTTCTATAGATGTAATCCAATTAATCCAAGGACTGTTGCCCTTACAACATAAATGTAAATTTGGACAAAGACACACCAAGAGAACACACTGTGAGGACAGACTGAGAGACAGAGAGGCATGTGATAACAGAGACAGAGATTGGAACAATGTGTCTTCAAGCCAAGGAAGAGCAAGGACTACTGAAAACCACCAAAAGGCAGAAGGGAGGCATAGGACAATTCCTTAGAACATCTAGAAGGAACTGACCCTGCTAATAGCTTAATTTCAGAATTCTAGCCTCCGGAATTGTGAGAAGATAAATTTCTGTTTTTGTAAGCCACCTAGCTAGTGGTACTTTGTTATGGCAGCCCTAGGAAACCCATATACTCATCAAAACACTTCATTTTGGCTTCCTGCACTAATCCAAAGATACTGGTCATTAACTGCCAAACGTAACAGCTCCATTTCATTACCCATCATCTTTGTTCTTTTCTTTTTTTTTTTTTTAAGATTTTATTTATTTTTATTTGAGAGAGAGAGCACATGAGAAGGGGAAGGGTCAGAGGGAGAAGCAGACTCCCTGCCGAGCGAGGAGCCTGATGCGGGACTCAATCCAGGGACTCCAGGATCATAACCTGAGCCAAAGGCAGTCGCTTAACCAACTGAGCCACCCAGGCGCCCCTCATCATCTTTGTTCTTAATAACATTGGACAGTATCAAGAATTTCTGCCTTAAAACCCTTTTTTCCTTTATTCCATGAACCTTTTTCTCCTACTTGCTCTCTTCAGGCAACTCTTTCTCCATCTCTTTGGTTTTTTTCCATATTCTATCTTTGATGTTCCCCCAAGGTTTTGTCCTCATTCCTCTTCAATACTTTCTATATATTCTACCTGAGTGAGTTCTTCTATTCCTGGGACTCCAAATGCTACCATTATGAATCAATGCTACCATTCATGAATCCAAATTCTATGCCTATAGCTCCTCACCCTATCTAACCCTGAGTTTCATATTCTTTCCTAAAGTTCCTTATCAGACATTTCCATTGAAATATCCGCTAGCACTCCAAATTCTACCTTATAATCACACCAATTTTCTAACAGCCCAACATGCCCAAAAATGAAAATCTTATCTTTTCCCTTCACCACCAGTAACAAAAACATCCCCCATTCCTAATGGCTCAGACTAAGTTGACTGTGTTCCCTTCTGTGCACCAGACTTCTCTCTGGCGATAAGACAGGACCAAGCAATGTAATACCCTAAGCAACCCTAAAAATAACATACAAATAACAATATACAGTTGACTCGAACAATGGGGGGTTACAGGCATTGACCTTCCACACAGGCAAAAGTTCACATACAACTTTTGATCCCCCAAAAACTTAACTACTAATAGCCTACTTTTGACTGGAAGCCTTAGCAATAAACAGTCAAAGCATATTTTGCATCTTATATGTGTTATATCCTGTATTCTTACAACCTAGAGGAAAGATGTTAATAAAATCATAACAGTAAATACATTTATAGCACTGTGTTTATCCAAAAAATAAATAAATAAATAAATCTATGTACAGGACGCCTGGGTGGCTCAGTCAGTTAAGCGTCTGCCTTGGGCTCAGGTCATGATCCCACCATCCTGGGATAGTGTCCCGTTATCAGGCTCCTTGCTCAGCAGGGAGTGTACTTCTCCCTCTGCCTGCTGTTTCCCCTGCTTGTACTCTCTCCACCCCCCTCCTGACAAATAAATAAAAATCTTTTTTTTTAAAGATTTTATTTATTTATTTGATAGAGAACGAGAGAGCACAAGCAGGGGGAGCAATAGAGGGAGAGGGAGAAGCAGGCTCGATGCGGGGCTCGATCCCAGGACCCCGGGATCATGACCTGAGCCGAAGGCAGACGCCCAACCATCTGAGCCACCCAGGAACCCCGATAAATAAAAATCTTAAAAAAAAAAATCTGTGTACAAGTGGACCCACGCAGTTCAAATTCCTATTGTTCAAGGGTCAACTGTTTATCTAAAAATCTGGGGATTAGCAGATGAAATGCCTTCTGCTCATCTGTGTAACAAGAGGACAGTTTCCCTAGTATAAGCTCTCACTCAGAGTCTAGAGTCAGACTAAATGCCAACTCTGCCATTTATGGGGGACAATGAGAAAAATAGAAAAAGTGGGAGACAAATCCTTCTAATGAATGTCCAGTGATCTTCCAGTTGCCTTCTTTCCTTACTGCAGCTTAAATTCTTTCATTTTTTAACATGCTCCTGGGTCCCTCCCTTGGCAAATTATAGTGTCCTAGAAAGAAATTTTCCCCATCTCTCTATATTGCAAATAAGGCAATTCCTACCTCACTCTCAGCTCCCAAGACATTGATTTGTTCCAATTTGTAGGTCCAATATCTGGCTTCCTCCTCTGGGATATCTACCATGAAAAAAGAAGAAACTACATTACTAGGTTATTAATTTAATCATGGGTCAATAATCCTTTATTCCATCAAATAATCGAAGTTAGAAAGTGATGGACTAATTTTACTGGTGGGCTTGGTTCTTGCCATGAACTTGATCTTGAATCTTCACACAAAAAACAAAATAATGTACTATTATTCCCATTGGATCAGAAGACTTAATATTGTTAAAATGCCAACACTACCCAGTGTGATCTACATATTGAATGCAATTACTATCAAAATCTCAATAATGTTTCTTTGCAGAAACAGAAAACTCCATTCTATGGATAGAGAAGATCTAGTACACACACACACACAGGAATATTACTCAGCCATCAAAGGAATGAAATCTTGGGGCACCTGGGTAGCTCAATCAGTTAAGCATCCAAATCTTGGTTTCAGCTCAGGTCATGATCTCAGGGTCAAGAGATCGAGTCCCTTGTTGTGCTCCACACTAGGCGCTTGAGATTCTCTCTCCTTCTGCTCCTCCGCCCACACTCTTTCTCAAATAAGTATTTTTTAAAATATTTTTGAAAATAAAAGATACATGTCAACATGTAAAAAAAATCTCTAGTTGATAAGAAATTTTAATGTTCTTTTTGCATACCTGTATTTTCTGAACTTTTAACATAATAAAAAAATTCATGTAACTATTTTTAAAAAATGGTATATAACTGAATAGAGTATTTCACAGGTTTTTGAATTATCCAAAAGAAAATTCCATTGCCAAAATATGGCACGCTGTAAGCTAAAATTCTTCCCATAGAAAGACCCTTTACTAAGCCTTTTATTTTCAGTTTTTTTAAAGATTTATTTATTTATTTGAGAGAGAGAGCGCACATGCACGCATGCGACCAGGAGGAGGGGCAGAGGGACAGAGAGAGAAACAGACTCTGCACTGAGCAGGGAGCCCCACTTGGGACTAGATCTCATGACCCTGAGATCATGACCTGAGCCGAAATCAAGAGTCGGAGGCTTAACAGACTGAGCCACCCAGGTGCCTCCCTTGATTAAGCCTTTGAAGACTGTATGCCAAATGTGGTTATCACAGAGGCCCAAGCTTAGCACAGTCACGTTAACACACATCAAAGATAGACCTCACTTATCTGAGTTTTTACCTTAACATTTATTCAAAAAACCATTTATCAGACACCTATTATGGGCCAAGCAAACTCTAAAGATACCAAAATAAAATACACAAGAGCCTTCATGAAACTCAAAATCTAGATAGAAATGTACACTGCCACCAATGACAGGATATAAATGATGCAGTGTTGAAAGAGGAATATCTTTTTAAAATGCCTTGGGGGGTGCTGGCTGGCTCAGTCCATAGAGCATGCGACTCTTGATCTCAGGGTCCTGAATTCAAGCCCACATTGGGCATGAAGCCTACTTAAAATAAAAATAAGTAAAATAAAATGCAATGAGGGATGGGCCGACAGTTTAAAGGAGCTCCACAGATCCACTCTCTAGCAAAACTGTATATATACAAAAAACCTATTTTTGCCATGAACATGTATTTTTTCTGTTTTTAAAAATTATTTTTTTTAGTTTTTTAAATTCAACTTAGTTAACATGTAGTGTATTATTAGTTTCAAGGTAGAATTTAGTGATTCATCAGTTGCATATAACACCCAGTGTTCATTACATCAAGTGCCCTCCTTAATGCCTATAACCCAATTACCCCCACTCCCCACCCACCATCCCTCCAGCAACCCTCAGTTTGTTTCCTAGAGTTAAGAGTCTCTTAAGGTTTGCTTCCCTCTCTGTTTTTATCTTATTTTTCCTTCCCTTCCCCTATGTTCATCTATTTTGTTTCTTAAATTCCACATATGAGTGAAATCATATGGTATTTGTCTTTCTCTGACTTACTCTTTAAACACTTTTCTATTTATTAATGCTACTTCAATGTTTAAATTGACAAATCACAAGGTATACATTCACTTCAAGACAACGAATGTTAAATTAGCAAAAGAATAAATCAGTTTTCTCTAACAAGCAAGTATTTCCTAAGTCATTAAAATAGTCAGAGAAACCTATTAACTTGAAGAGAATACGCTTAGTGTGGATTCTTTAATGAGTATCATTCTACAGCCTGTACCATTCCTGGGCTAGGTGTTATAGGGGCTAGGGTAGAAGACAGAATGCCCTCAAAGGAGATAGCTGACAAGACAAAAAATACAGTAATGAGACTAGCAAACAATTGTTAACAATATGGTAAAAAGTGTTAAATGGTTTTTAAAGTCTAATTCAATAGACTCACCAAAAGGCAACTCAAATCTTGTATCAAGCAAAATCTTATGAGGAGTTGGGTTTTTAGTTCCACAGATCTCATCATCTTTCATCAATGTCTCTGCCTCCAACGTGGACCACTCCCCAGGCCCTTCCTAGAAAACAGAGGTCTAAGATTAAACTTTATTTCTTCATGGCTCCACTCCTCCTGTTTTAAGAGCTGGTGTTTTTTTCTGAATGTCATTGTTGGAGAGCTCCTGGGGACCACTCACATCCTGATGAGGCAAACACACCACTGTCACCACCTGCCTCTGCTGCTATGTGGTTTCTGTTCTCCCTCTTTGGTGGAAGAGCAGCTTCCACCATGCTCAGCTCTCTACAAGTCCACTGAACATAGAATTCTGGAGCACCCAAACTGAAAAACCAAATATCTTTATAGATCAATATTTAATCTGTACAATTTTTAATGACTGTGTCACTTAATATGTGTTACTACTTCTAATTAGTAAAGAGCTACTAACATTGCTACTTAAAATAGATCTGAACTGGAGCCACAATAAAAATGAACTGCCCATCTGCCTGGGGAAGTAGAGACAGCCAGAACTAAAAGACTTTAGGAAAGAGAGGCACACCTGCACTATCCCAACTCCCAGAGAAAACACATAGTCAATGCTAAAGCCAAACAGGAATATAGTACATTTTTTCCAGGTTCAAAGTGAGTGTCTATGGGGAAATGATGCTGAGTTATGTTTCAATCTGGGAAAATGGAGTAGAAAACCACTCTTGGAAATAATGTATAGAGACAGAGTGTATAACAACTGCCACCCATGGTAATTCCTTAAACTCTATTAGGGTTATATGTGGAAGATGGAAGATTGAAACCAGTTCCCTGGGAATTGGTGACTCAAAGAAATAAAGCATAGAACGGGATCCAGGCTGAGGAAGTTTAATGGGACTTCTCCTAGGATAGCTTCTTAGAGGAGAATGCAGAAACCACAGGTATCCTAGATCACATACACACACCTACTCCCCTTCTTCTCTCCTTCTCCCTCACACACAGTACTCAGAAGGGGCTATCAACCTGATATGGCTAAAGAGAAGTTCTGGCACCTCGAGTTCAGTCATAAGGTACAGAGAAGACAAGACTTAAATAAAATCCATTGAACCTCTGTGTGAGGTTAAGAATAGGCTGGTTGCATGCTCACTAATTAGAAAGGGGGACAGAGCAATCTGAGATGCATGGTGAATATTAGCTGAATGGAGCTAGGATAGGGACAAGCATGGGCTAGAACTATACCTCCAAATGGGCAATGCATTGACTAACCTCATCCGACTGACGAACAGTCTTCAGTGCAATCCACACGGTCCCCACCATGGTGTCCCAGATCAGTCCTTTGTTCCAGACCTCCACACTTAGACCCAGGTCCAGGCGATTAATCTCACTGAAGGAAAGAAGAAAGCCCTTTAAAGAAAGCCAGATAGGGGTGCCAGGCGGGGTCAGGAGGAAAAGCATGTGACTCTTAATATCAGGGTTGTGAGTTTGAGCACCATGCTGGGTGTAGAGATTACTAAAAAAAATAAATTTGAAAAAAAAAGAAAGCCAAATAATATGAAATATACATCTCCTACATCCACATCTCCTGTTTTGCTAAACCTTGAATACTTTCTCACCAGGATCCTATTGTCAGGGAAAATCAAAATGTCCCAGAATACAACAACCATTCTTTAGGTTCCTAGAAAAGTATGTAAGAATCCATACAAAAATGCCTTTGTCCATCCGTCCCCTTGCCTCTGGAACTACAAACATGATTAGATTAATGCGTTTTCACAAAAAAATGGGGGTAAGGACGGCATTATTGCCAGACCTGCAAGTCTATAATCTCTACTCTTACCAAGCAGTTTTATATGTTTTATTATCAATACTAACAGTACCCTCAACTTACACTTACAAACTATATATAGGAAATTTAGGAAAAGGTAAGGCTTCTTTACAAGATTTATGAAAGGCAGTCCAAGCAGAAGTAAAATGGCCCATAAGAAGATCTAAATCTGATGGGAAATTGTGGTCAGAGGCAGGTAAGGGATACTGGAATATACCAGTTCACTCCACTCAGCCCCTGGAGAACCCAGTTAAAATAGACACTGTCATTTATAAACAAAATGTTTGTCAGAAAATAATGATAAACACAATGATTATCCTGTAATAACAAATAGGAAAAAATTTTTTGAAAAGAAATCATAGAGCCACATAACCACTAAGCAAAAACAACATCATACATGGTAGAATATCAGCTTGGAAGGGCCAACTCAAACGTAATTATACTCTTAAAGTGGAACAAGCAAATACCTATATTATGCCAAAAACATCCTCCAGAAAGCTCTTATTGAAATACGGGGTTATTTGAAAGGAAATGCAAGAAAAATGAAAAAAGGCCCATTCTAGCAAAAAAGCAGAAAGGTATTCTCAGGGAGACAACAGCTATTCATCACATGAAGTTTCAAGTTCACACTTTAGAGAAAGCTTGGTTTCCCTGTTCTATTAAGATACATGTTCTCAGGCACCTGGGTGGCTCAGTCAATTAAGCGTCTGCCTTCGGCGCAGGTCATGATCCCAGGTCCTGGGATCAAGCCCTGCATCAGGCTCCCTCCTCAACAGTGAGTCTGTTTCTCCCTCTCTCTCTGCCCCTCCGCCTGCTTGTGCTCTCTTTCTCTCTCAAATAAATAAATAATCTTAAAAAAAATACATGTTCTCAGAATCACACATTTAGGATGTGGTAATACAGCCATAGACTTCTCATCAAATGTGCTGAAAACAAGTGAAGCAAAGAAAATTCACCCCTTTTACTAACTAAATACACTATAACAGAGAATGTACTGAGTTTATTTGTTCATTTAATTAATGTTTCCTCACCACATATAATACATATGGTTTGGTACTTTGAGCAAGACACACAATATAGGACCTAATTCCTATCTCTAAAACCTTCTAAACTATCTCGAGAGCTGTTCAAAGCCACAAAGTAGGTGACTAAACCCAGCCAGTAAGTTAAGGTGTTCACAGCGTAGGGAAATTAAGCTTTTGTCACACAGTTTCATTCAGCCTAATTAATCAATTTGCCTTGGAAAAGACGTCTGACAACCCTAAATCTTTTGAATCTGGAAAAGAAAAATTGCATGGGGATACATACATAATGTTCCTAAAGCAACTCCTAAGCAACATCTCAAGCCAATAGACGAAAGAAATAGCCAGAGGCCTTTACAGCTTGACTTGGATAGAAAAAAGTTCTTTAGGGAACTCTGGGGAATAAAACTCCAAGAGGCTATCTCCTATAAGAAGCTTCTCATCTCATCTATGTGTGTCCAGCAGGCCCAACTTAAAAGAAGTCTGAGAGCTTTGTTTATGCCTCATCCCCAGAGCTCTGGGGAAACTTCTCTATTAATTAATCAATAGTATATGTGCATATACATATACAAGATCTGGAGCTAGGCAAATTCACAGTAACTAAAGATGCCCTGTTTACCCTTAAATGAATAATCTAGTCCTGGAAGTAAGATACAGAAATATTAAAGATAAACAACGAAAAATACAAAAGTGAGTATTAGATACTGCCATATAATACATTAGGAAGAAGGAAAAAGGAGAAAGGGACACAAGAGACCAGCAATGGAGCTGCCAGTAACAAAAGAGCAGGGTAGGAGGAATAAGGAAGAAGAGCACAAAAGAGGAAAATGTAGCTAATAAAATCCATGTGTACAGAGGAGAAAGCAAAATTCACACAGCATCTCAAGGTGGGAGACGAAAAAAATTCACACGTATCACAGAAGGGTTTAAAGAGGAAGTGTTACAGGAAATTGGAAAATAAACACATAAGAATAAAGCTAGTTATGCTGATGAGAGGCTACAGAAGATCGCTAGGTTTCACACAATGGGAACAGTTTTAACAGTTAGTGATTATTACTGCCAACTGGAAGTCAGAGGAAGGTAGGATTTCTGGATTTTATATGCCAAACAGCCATGGGAAGAGACTTCAATAAACCACTCATAGCTGACTATGCACACTACAGGTACAGAGAAACACACAGTCTCACTCTCACGGCACTGTGACTGAGAAAGGTAATGAACGAGGTTTGTAATTGTGAGTGAGACAACCAGTGAGAAATGTGACAAAACTGGCTCTCTTTCTTCTTGAAGCCCCAGTTCTCTCTCAGCTTCCTGTTTCTCCTATCTCTCTTTTCATTCCTTTTTAGTCCCCTCTGTCCCACTTTAAATGCTGCTGCCCTTCCAGTCTTTACCTCAGGCCCTGTTCTCAATTTACTCACCATCTCCCTAAGCTTCCTCATCTACGCCTACAGCTCCAACTGACTAAAATATTTCTCCAACCCCTACTTCTTTCCTGAGTGCCAGGTTCAAGTTCCTATCTTCTGAACCTCTCTTCCTACTAGTCCTGTAAGAACCTCAAATATAGGGAGACGCCGCAGACCCAGGACCCGGAGCAGCTCGGAGGCGGTGAATAATGGCTCTTCAAGTCTGTAATAAAAAATGGCCTCCAATAAAACTACATTGCAAAAAATGGGAAAGAAACAAAATGGAAAGAGTAAAAAAGTAGAAGAGGCAGAGTCTGAAGAATTTGTGGTGGAAAAAGTACTGGACCGACGTGTAGTGAATGGGAAGGTGGAGTATTTCCTGAAGTGGAAAGGATTTACAGATGCTGACAATACTTGGGAACCTGAAGAAAATTTAGATTGTCCAGAGTTAACTGAAGCATTTCTTGATTCTCAAAAAGCTGGTAAAGAAAAAGATGGTACAAAAAGAAAATCTTTATCTGACAGTGAATCTGATGATAGCAAATCAAAGAAGAAAAGAGATGCTGCTGATAAACCAAGAGGCTTTGCCAGAGGTCTTGATCCTGAACGAATAATTGGTGCCACGGACAGCAGTAGAGAATTAATGTTTCTCATGAAGTGGAAAGATTCAGATGAGGCAGACTTGGTGCTGGCAAAAGAGGCAAATATGAAGTGTCCTCAGATTGTAATTGCTTTTTATGAAGAGAGACTAACTTGGCATTCTTGCCCAGAAGATGAAGCTCAATAATTGTTTGCATTGTTTTATATATATATATATATATAAAATCCGGGTCTTTGTTTTTTGATTTATTAGTGTGAAGAAGTAACATTCTAATGAAAATCAAGTTCGATATGTTTGTTTTGAAGTAGTATTGGGGGAGTTGTTGGGGTTTTTTTTGCATCTATAGCACTGGTTACTTTGAACAAATAAAAGCTTTCTGTAGTTGCTTCCTTTATCAGAAAAAAAATATTTGAGACCATGGTATATTATCCCCCTGCATTAGAGAACACATTTTCTAAATGTTGGGGGAAATCTTCATAGTCGTTACTCAGTCAGAATTTGTGTTTAACTCCTATATGCCTAAGGACCATTCTGGATTTTTTGTTTATTTAGGGGGTTTTTGTGTGTATACTTAAAATACATACATAAATGGTTTTTGTTTTTTAACATTCACCAAAACAAAAACAGCATTTATAACCATGGATAAGCCCGTGTTTCCGGGATGCTATCATTTTCAGCAACTTAAGAAATAAATCACTTAAAGTTAAACTGAAGTTTTTCCTGAAGCCTTAACCTTTCAGATTTTTAAACTGGACAATTTAAAAGCAGCCATATCAGAATCCGTATTCATATCTACAGTCATAAATGCAAGTTCATTTGCAAGATCCCTGAAAGGAAAATTTTATCACCACCAACAACCTCCCCACCCAAATGACAAAACTAGACAAGTCCTGGTGTGTTTTAATTAGGTAAGCAAAACTTAGTTAAATGGACATTTAAAGGTTCCTTCTAGTGAACCATTCCTTTTCAAGAAGTTTAAATCTCTGTGCTGTATTGACTAAAAGGTCATGATTCACGGAATGTCTAAGACTTTGTTCATGGAAACCTAATCATAATCAGATGGTTAGAGATGTTGGCAATTTAGCACCTGTTGGAATATATGGGTGAACAGACTTTTATAATCCAAATTCTTAACCTGCATTTATTTTCTTTACCCCAACTCGTTCCTGACATGTAGGCTCAGTCTTCTCAGTATTTGAGTTACTGGTTCAGCAGAAACCAGGAAAAACAGTAACTTTGTAGTCAGAATGTTATCCAACTGTATATTGTTTACTTTATTGTAAATACTGGTAAACAGTGGTCAATAGTTTTATATTCCTTAAAAAAAAAAAAGAACCTCAAATATAAGTTTGTCCATAAGTGAATTTATATTGTCTCCTATCCTAATGAGTAACACCATACCTACCCAATCATGCAAGACAAGTTTATCTCCTTAACACCTTCTTTCCATCCTTTTCTATCCCTTCTGCTACTATCTTATTAGCCCAGCCACTCATAATCTTACCCTTAAAGTATTTATAATCTAGTTTCCTCAATGGTACTATAAGAAGCAATACATCAAAAGCCCGAAGGATTGGAATGTATCTACATGAAAATCATCATCCCTATGTGCTTGAGATGCACTACAAAACTTGTAAAGTCAATTTCACTTCCATTTCAAAACTCACAGCAATTTTAATACATTCTCTTGTTTGCCACCATATGCCTAACTTCCCAGAAAACAAGTATAACCTTGTAAGAAAGACAGACCTTTACAGGTAAAGTAATTGGCACTCAGAGAAGCTCAATGATTTGTGTAGTCCTTCAAAATGATATTCTACATTTTTCTCCCCTTTTCTAGAGCAGAAAAAAAATGCCTCAAATTTCAGAGGAAAAAAAGGAAGTGTCAAGTTTTTAAAGCCAGAGCTTACAATAATATGCTACATTTTGTGTCATATGTAAGAAATCCTAATGGTTACTCATTTTTATTAACTAGAGGAAGGTAGAACATTTCACTCCATAAAGCAAAAGGATTTTAAGCAAAGAAATCCTCATCTTCAATAGCAGGTAACCTGGGTATACACACACACACAGACATTCTCTTTCTCTTTCTCACACACACACACACACACACACACACACACACACACACGCACGTGCACACAACAATTTCCTTCAAGGAGCCTTCTGAGAATCGAAGCAAGATTTAAATTATGTTTACTATCATGCTAATTATATTGTACTATATCCTAATTCTGACCATGGGAAAATCTGACTAGACAGTATATTTACCCACATAAATGAATTGGGAGTTTATTTGCATTCATAATTCACATAATGTAGAATCAATTACAAATGCAGGAGAGAACAAAACTGCAGATGTACTTCACCCCACAATACCCCTCACTTGTTCCTGTAACTGTAGTTTTCATAAATATTGTAGGCGGCTGCTGCTGCAAAATACTTACAACATAAAATCTTGTTCCCAAGAAGGCTGATCACCACGAACTGCTACAGTTGTGCTCTTCACATTCTGCACTTTCAAGGTCACATATGTATTAAATTTATCTTTAAAAAAAAGCAAAAAAAAATGCACAATGAAGATGTAATACTTAGTGCTCAGATTGTTACTCAATCTCACAAAGTCTTTGGAACTGAGTAACCCAAATTAAAGTATTTTATGTTGAAGAAAAAATAAAATTATATATTGTACTATATGGCATCATTCTAAGCATACAGAGCTGTAAAAAACTATAAAATACATTCTATTCTCAAAAGTATAAGCTATAATAGTTTTTCAAATTTTAGAAATACATATTTGACCCTGTAGACATACATACACACAAATGAAAACAAAAGCTTCATGAAATACAAGATGTGATACTTGTATTGATTGATATTTCCTGTTACACTGTTAAAACATTAATCATAACCAACTGAATTGATTTTATAACCCATCTTCAGTTTGAAAAAACCAAATCTAATTGATCTAATAGAAAAGATAATATACATAACTTAACAAAAAAAGGAATAAGTACCATAAGAGAAAGAGAAAAAATGGTAAAGGATTGAAGGAGAGGAAAGGGTTACCTCTAGCTGTTGACAGGGACAAGAATTGAGAAAAAATCCTCATAAAGGAAAGGGATTCCATGCTTGATCTATTCAGGCTGGCCTAAACCACAACCTACATAAATAGCCACCTGGGTGGCTCAGTCTGTTGAGCACCTGACTCTTGATTTCAGCAGGTCAAATCAAGCCCCCCACCCCTCCAGCCAGACTCCCCACTCAGCAGGAGTCCGCTTGGGATTCTCTCTCCCTTCTCTCTGTCCTTCCCCCACTGTGCGCTCACGCTCAATCTCTCTCTCTCAAATAATTTTTTTTAAGATTTTTTATTTATTTATTTGAAAGAGAGCACAAGCAGGAGGGGCAGAGGGAGAGACAGAATCTCAAGCACACTCCATGCTGAGCACAGAGCCCGATATGGGGCTGTATCCCAGGCTCCGAGATCATGACCCCAGCCGAAACCAAGACTTGGTGGCTTAACTGACTGAGCCACCCAGGCACCCCTCAAATAAATACTTTTTTTTAAATTTTATTTATTTATTTGACAGAGAGAGACACAGAGAGAGAGGGAACACAAGCAGGGGGAGCGGGAGAGGGAGAAGCAGGCTTCCCACTGAGCAGGGAGCCTGATGTGGGCCTCAATTCCAGGACCCTGGGATCATGACCTGAGCCGAAGGCAGACGCCTAACGACTGAGCCACCCAGGTGCCCCATCAATAAATAAATCTTAAAAAAAAAAAAAAAGGCAGTATTATCACAGAGTTGGGAAAAGGAGATTCTTTAACCTGATACTATAAATTGAGTACTATTGCTTAAACACAGCACCTTTTGCATTCCCCCTACTACATTTACATGAACCGTGATTAGAGGCACTGAACTAAGAGTTCATTTTTCTGTGTAAGAAATTAATCTTAACATTATAAAATGAAAAAAAAAGACTATCATTTTTGACTCATCAAATAGGCAAAGATTACTTAAAATGATTACCTAATGTTAGGAGTGTGAGAAAATAGGCCCTGCCATGCACTTATAGCAGAAGGTAAATCTTCTCTTGAGCATCATTAAAATTATGCAGTTTTACAAAAAGCAGAATCATGGGGCACCTGGATAGCTCAGTCGGTAAAGCATCTGCCTTTGGCTCAGGTCATGAGCTCAGGCTCCTGGGATCAAGTCCTGTGTCGGGGGGGGGGGGGGTCCCTGCTCAGCAGGGAGTCTGCTTCTTCCTCTGCCCCTCCTCTCACTTGCTCTCTCCCTCCCTCTCTCTCAAATAAATAAAATCTTAAAAAAAAAAAGGCAGAATCAGACCTATAAATAGAACAAACTGATGGTTGCCAGAGTGGGGAAGGGTAAAATGGGGAGTGGGAGATAAAGGCTTTCAGTTATGGAATGAATAAGTGGAACAAAAGGCACAACAAAAGGAATATAGTCAATGGTATTGTGATACTACTGTATGGTGACAGATGGTAGCTACTCTTGTGGTGAACACAGCATAATGTATAAACTTGTAGAATCATTATGTTGCACACCTAAAACTGTAACATTGTATGTCAACTATACTCATTTAAAAAAAAATTTTAGGGGTATCTGGTGGCTCAGTTGGTTAAGTATCCGACTCCAATTTTGGCTCAGGTCATGATCTCAGAGTTGTGATACTGAGCCCCACGTTGGGCTCTGCACTGGTCATACTGCTTAAGATTCTCTCTCCCTCTCCCTCTGTCCCTCCCCCACCCAAAAAAATTTAAATAAAAGTGAGAATAATACAATGTTCTACGTTTGTTGTGATAATTAAATAAGACATTTGCAAAAGTATTTAGGCAATGCCCTGATACAGCAAGTGCTCAATAAATCATAGCTATTTTAACTATTAGGACTATTATTAAATCCTTATGAAATCATTAAAAAATTATATAGTTTTATACTTCGATGTGGGAAGTTTACCAGAATTATAACTAAGATATATGAAAATACAAGCCTACCCACATGAGAGAATCCCCAACCATCTACAGTAGCAGTGAAATAGACCACTGAGCTATGTTTCCTATCATGATTTTGTACTCCACTCCCACATCCAACCGCAGCTGACCAGACCAGGTTTAGATGCCACCCAAGAGCAGCCAATCCATGAACTGGCAAAAAAAAAAAAAAAAAAGACCAATCCAATTCCCTCTCAAAAGATCTTAAATAAGGAAAACAAAGAAATATTAAGGAGGGCACGTATTGCATGGAGCACTGGGTGTTATACACAAACAATGAATCATGGAATACTACATCAAGAACTAATGATGGAATATATGGTGATTAACATAACAATAAAAAATTTTAAAAAAATAAAAAAAACACTAATGATGTACTGTGTGGTGAATAATATAATAAAAAAAAGAAAAAGAAACAGTGACACAATTGGTAGTTGGTGCTGGAGCTCAGAGAAGTATATATACTCCACTGGAGCAGCCATCATGGGCTGTGTGCAAAAAAGTTAAGCATAGAAAGCCAGCTAGAAGAGAAAGGAAAACAAAACAGATTCTAAGAAAGAAGAGAGACCTAGTTAGTGGAGAGAACAATAGGCTCAGTAACTACTTTAGTTCCTATTGTACCCAAGGTTTGGTTTTTTTCAGCATTCCATGGGTTACCAATCATGTTCACTTTTTCCAGTAATCCCCAGTACCTTCCCTTTTCCCCAGCAGTAACCAGAACAAGTCTCTGTAACTTGACATTCACAATTAAGAAAATGTGTATTGAAACAAGTAAATACTATTTTCACCTTCTGATGGGCAAAGATTAAAAAGTCTCATACTACCTAATATTGATAGGGATTTGGATAAACACTCATTTTTTTTTTATTATGTTCAGTTAGCCAGAATACATCATTAGTTTTTGATGTAGTATTCAACAATTCATTAGCTGCATATAACACCCAGTGCTCATCAACACTCATATACTTTTAGTTTAAGTATAATCTCCCCCAAAACTTTCAGAAGTGCAATGTGGCAGCAGCTACCAAATTTTTAAAAAATGCATACCATTGTCCCAGCAATTCTCTATTTCTGGACTCTAGTGTATAGATACATTTGCAAAGCAGACCATGATAAGTGCACAAAAACATGTATTTGCTTAAAATAGTAAAAAATGGAAACAACCTAAATATTCATCAATCAGGAACCTAGGGTACAAACTTGTAACAAAATTCTGGGCACATAATGGGCACAAAGTTAACTTTTTTTTTTTTTAAGATTTATTTATTTAGAGAGAGAGAGAGAAAGCATGCACGCACACACAAGCACAGTGGGGAAGAGCAGAGGAGAGTGGGAGAGAAACCCAAGCAGACTGCACTGAGCATGGAGCCTAATGTGGGGTTCAATCCCAAGACCCTAAGATCACAACCTGAGCCCAAACCAAGAATTGGACGGTTAACCCACTGTGCCACCCAGGCACTCCCAAAGTTCACTTTAAATAAATAAAAAGAAAAAGAACAACAAGATATATGTATATACACACTCAAAGTAATGTGTTGTTGGAATAAAAGCAGGTTGAACAAGGTTAATCTATTCGTTTATACATGCATATACACAGAAGAAATCTGAGAAGGTATATACAAACCTCTAAATAGTTACTGGGGAGAAGTAGAATTGAGGTGGCCAAGAGGTAAGGGGACTTTAAGTTTTCACTAGATAGATTTCTTTAATGTTTTACAACAGCATTGATTTTTTCCAGCTTTACTGAGGTTTGACAATTTAAAATTGTAGGTATTTAAGGTGTACAACTTGATTTGATACCCACTGTGAAATAACCACCATAATCAAGCTAATTAATATATTCATCACAACTCACATAATTACCATTTTCAAGTGTGTGTATGTGCACACTGACAGCTCGAGATCCACCCTCTTAGCAAATTCCAAGTATACAGTACTCATTAATTATAAACATGTTGTATGTTAATTCTCCAGAAATTATTCATCTTGCATTACTGAAACTTTGTACCCCTTGACCAACATCTCCCCATACTGATTTTTAATAATTTAATAAATTTTGTGAATTTATTTAATCAATGAATTAAATGAAATTAATGACTGTTTAAAAGATTGATTTTTTAAAAGGCTGATTTTATTTTATTAAGATTTTATTTATTTATTTGACAGAGAGAGACACAGTGAGAGAGGGAACACAAGCAGGGGGAGTGGGAGAGGGAGAAGCAGGCTTCCCGCTGAGCAGGGAGCCCGATGCGGGCCTTGATCCCAGGACCCTGGGATCATGACCTGAGCCGAAGGCAGACACTTAACGACTGAGCCACCCAGGCACCCCTAAAGGCTGATTTTAAAATCACATCAAGTATGAAGGGAAAAGACGTAATTAAAGGCCGGCCTTACCTGGTGAGCCCTGGAATTTGGCTCTTTTAACTGCAAGAGAAAAAAAGAGGACACCATGAAGAATTTTTGCAAATTCATTAACTAAACCATCTTGAGCATCTACCATATGCCAAGGTTAGAGTTAGAACTAGATTTGTAAGTCTAAGTCTAAAAGAAAAGATGCTGGGACTTCTGAGCAAAGGTTGAAGGCAGAGAGTTAGAAGGGCCCTTATAAATCATCCAGTCTAATCTCATCCTCAACGCAGAAATCTCTTACAGCCTCTTAACGATAGAGGAAACTCAATTACTCCTTTGGCAGGCAACGTGTTTCATTTCACGTATCTAAGGTTTAAGTTATATATGTTTCCCATTTAAAGCCCATCATAGAAATTCCCCCCATTTCATTCATGCCAGAAGAGTTCAACAGGCCAAATTTAGACAGATTTTAAACAAGGGGGAAAAGTAATTTCTTGCTGGGAATAAACAAGGTAACAAGAAAAGCTCCTATCCAAATGACCACAAAGAGCTATTTACAAAACATCAGTGCAGAACTGCAAAAGAAAGAATCCCACATTAGGACTGCAGCATGCCAGCTTCTAAGAAAGGTCAAAGACAACAAAGATGCAGGAGAACTGCCAAATTCCAGTAAACACCAAATATTTTCCCATCAATGAAGATTAAGACTAAGTGTGCAGGGGTAGGGAGAGAATAAAAGGAAATCCCAAAACAATGCCTGAAAAGGATACTTGAGGGTACAGATCTGCCATTCTCCTTTTCCTAAATTACAACTAAAAGCTTCACCTTAGCTGACATCCAAGCTCTGCCTAACACATCCAAGAGAATGGGTAATTCGGTACGTTTTTTACAAGACCTTCTCCATTTTCAAGCAACACTTAATGCTAAGATCTATTTTACTGAATCAAAGTATGTCTCCCACTGGACTGTCCCTTGTAGTCTCACGTCAATCCCTCTTCCCAATTATTCTTTAATAGTTTCATTTAATCTAAGACTTACTATAAAGCTACAGTAATCAAGATAGTGTAGCACTGGCATAAAATTAGACATAGACCAATGAAATAAAATTGAAATATATATATGGAATATATAAATACACATTATCTTTACTTCATACCACACGCAAAACTTAAAATGAATCATGAATATTACTAAATATGAGCCCAAACTATAAAATATCTAGGAGAAAACAGAAAATCTTAGTGATCTTGGGCTAGGCAAAGATTTCTTAAATTGAATACAAAATCATGAACGTTAAAAGAAAAAAATGGATAGACTAGACTGAGAATTTAAAACATGCATTCCTCAAGACACTGTTAAAAAGGCAAGTCTGGGGCACCCAGGTAGCTCAATCAGTTAAGCTTCTGACTCTTAATTTCAGCTCAGGTCGTGATCTCAGGGTCACGGGATCAAGCCCTGAGTCCAGCTCCACACTCAGCATGGAGTCTGCTTGGGAGTCTGCTTGGGATTCTCTCTCTCCCTCTTCCCCTCCCCTGGCTCGCACACATGCTAAGTAAATGAATAAAACCTTAAAAAAAAAAAAAAAGGCAAGTTTAAGAGGAAATATTTACAAAACATGTATAATAAGACTGATAAAGGACTATAAGAAGAAATCTCAAAAGTCAATATTAAGAAATCAAGAATCCACATTTAAAACTGGAAAAAGGGGGTTACCTGGCTGGCTTAGTTGGTAGAGCATGTGACTGTTGATCTAGGGGTCATGAGTTCCACCCCCACATTGGTGTAGAGCTTACTTAAAAAAAAATTTTTTTAAAAAACACACTTAGCATTTACATTAGCACAAAAAATTAAATACTTAAGTATAAATCTAAAAAAAATAAGTACAAGATCTAGATGATGAAAACTCATGAAAGATATGAAAGAAGTAATTAGAGAAATAATCCATGCTCATGGATAGGAATACTCAATATTGTCAAGATGTCAGTTCTTTCCAACTTGACCTAGAGATTCAATACAATCCTAATCAAAATCCCAGCAAGTTAATATTAAAATTTCCTCCACCACTTAAAAAAAGCAGTTCAAAAATACTACTCTACACCACAACCCTGCATGACTGAGATTTTGAACACCTAAATTGATGATTTTTACCCAGGAGTTATTTAATATTGTTAGCACTATAATGTGATTCACTTATATTTGTATCATCATGTGATAAAACTGTAACTATGTAATTAAACAGAATTCTGACATAGTCTGCTAACCTTTAAAATGTCATTCCTTCATTCATTGGCTTGCTACTTTCAAAATTACGTAAAAGAAGATCCTTTATTAAAAAAAAAAAATCCCAGCAGGCTATCTTGTGGATATGGACAAACTGACTAAAGTTTATACGGAAAAGCAAAAGACCCACAATAGCCAACTCTATGCTGAAGTTCAAGGCCAATACTACCCACCTTTGGAGACTTACTATAAAGCTAATAGTGATCAAGACAATATGGTTTTAGTGAAAGAACAAATAGATCAAATGGAACAGAACAGAGGGCCAGAAATAGACCCACATAACTATAGTCAACTAATTTTTTTTAAGATTTTATTTTTAAGCAACCTCTACAACCAATGTGGATCTCAAACTTATAACCCCGAGAGACACATGCTCCATCCACCATCTGAGCCAACCAGGTGCCCCAGTCAACTGATCTTCAACAACGGAGCAAAGTCAATACAATGGAGCAACAACAGCCTTTTCAACAAATGGTGCTATAACTAATGGACATGTACATGGTGGGGAAAAAAAAAATTCTTAGAGACAGACCTTCACAAAAATTAACTCAAAATGGATCACAGACCTAAATGTAAAATGCAAAATTATGAAATTCCTAGAAGACAACATAAGAAAAAACTCAGATGACCTTGGATATGATTAGGACTTTTTAGACACAACACAAAGGCACAATTCACAAAAGAAGTAACTGATAAGCTGGACTTCAGTAAATTAAAAACTGCTCTGTGTAAGGCCATGTCAAAAGAATGAGAAGATAAGCCACAGACTGGGAAAAAGTATTTGCAAAAGACACATCTCATATAGGACTGTTATCCAAAATACCCAAAGAACTGCTAGAACTCAACAGTTATGAAAACACACTACCTGACTTTAAAATGAGCAAAAGACATTAATAGACACTTCACCCCAAGAAGATATATAGATAGCAAGTAACTCCATGAAAAGATGTTCAACATCATATGTCATTAGGGAATTACAAATTAAAACAATGGTGTTAAGCAAGGAAAAAAAACTGCCTAAAAACTGAATTAAATGGATGAGGTAGCTATTTGGCTACCTCATTATGGGCTATTATGGACTCCTTAGTATCAAAACACTCTTCTTCTGAAGGAATCCTGAGAGAGATGGGAGGCAGAACCTAAAACACACTACAGAAGCCAAAGGCAGCCGACCTAGATGCAGTAATCACATGCTCCCAACTTCAATTTTGAGGGAGTGAAACAAAGATGCAAGGTTGTTTAGAGAAAGCTGTAGAGAAGTTGGTATTCCAGCAGAAGGTCATGAATGTCTAACAGTAGAGTTCTAAAGGACAATAGTAAATTTCCAGGGTGTTAGAGCACCACAATGGACCATTCTTGTTAACAGATGTTGGGAGCTTATGCTAATTTTCCTTTTTACCTCCATTTCACAGATTAGCAAAAGTCAAGCTCAGAGAGTTTCTGTGGCTGGGTCAGATTAAGAATCTGTTGGCAACATCATATGGATAATAAGTAATGGAGCTTGATAAAGGATTTACGTCTTTTGATTATAAATTTAGTTCTTTCCATTTCACCAAAATGCCACAGCAACAGAAGGAAGAGAAAGAATGAAAAACCACTGTCTCTACCCTAAGGAAGTTGGAAAAAAAAAAAAAATGCAAGCACACAGAGGAAAGATCCAATCATATAATTCACTGTCAGTCTAGAAACCAAAATGCAATGTTCAGATGAAATGGGCCACAAAGAAAGGACCGATGAGGAGGGTGGGATAATAATCAAAGACTTCATCAAATAGAAGTAGGACTAAGGAAATGGGTAAAGTATAGATAAGAAAAGAGACATAAGAAACAGCATTAAAAAGGTATGAAAAAATCAAAGTCAGAGGAGCGTGTTTTTCTACATGTTAGTCATGAAGATAAAAGCACCTAAAATCTGAGTGTTTCCCAACATTCCAAAGACAGGCAAAGTCCACTAGCCCCACAAAATCTCCAAGAGTTTGGGTACAGGTATTTGGGGCTAGTTAGACACGGGGCTAAAATAAAGGAATTACAGTATCTTAAATCCAGAGCTTTTCCTATTTAAGAATAAATTTAAAAAAAAAAAAAAAAGGAAATCTTTCTAAATCTCCTTTGGAAAGACAGCACAAGGATACCAAAAGTCCAGAAACGAATTATATACATTTTGTTTGCTTTTCAGTTTTTCCTAGGTACAGTCCCTCTCTTTTTTACCATCACTTGCTCCTCCTTGAAACTGTGCCAACATGCCTTCCCTCCCGTTGTGTATTACTGTAAATTCTTAACCTTTAAAAGTTACATTCCTTTGATAATTTAACAAAAGCTGCAGATCTGCTCTCCAGAAAAAATGCACATCTATCCACAAAACAGTGCATATCAAGGGGAAATTCATGCATTAGCATCTGCTAATAAAATTGCTTTTTGCAATGTTGTCATTCTCATTAGATTTTCCTATTTTATGTTTGCAAAAGTCTACTTTTATTGATTAGTCTTATGTTTATTTGCTCTATTAAAATGGGCTAATTACATGGTGTTTTCTCCATGGTGTTTGCAAGTATCTCTTTGGAATTGGATGGAATCATTGCTAATTCAAGGTCTACTCTAGCCCTAGGTATAATAAACACAGGCCCTTGAGAAAATCATTATCATAGGAGCATGTTTTTCTAAGTATTTGTCATGAAGATACAGCATCTAAAATCTGAGTGTTTCCCAACATTTCAATGACAACTCCTGAAATATTATAATAATCCTACAGAAGTGGAACAAAAATAGCAGCTGCTAATGCTAGAAAATCATTGCAGT